TCGGTGGAGTGTGCGGGCCGGATGAGAAGACTATATAAGGTATATTGGTGGAGTGTGCGGGCCGGATGAGAAGACTATATAAGGTATATCGGTGGAGTGTGCGGGCCGGATGAGAAGACTATATAAGGTATATCGGTGGAGTGTGCGGGCCGGATGAGAAGACTATATAAGGTATATCGGTGGAGTGTGCGGGCCGGATGAGAAGACTATATAAGGTATATCGGTGGAGTGTGCGGGCCGGATGAGAAGACTATATAAGGTATATCGGTGGAGTGTGCGGGCCGGATGAGAAGACTATATAAGGTATATCGGTGGAGTGTGCGGGCCGGATGAGAAGACTATATAAGGTATATCGGTGGAGTGTGCGGGCCGGATGAGAAGACTATATGAGGTATATCGGTGGAGTGTGCGGGCCGGATGAGAAGACTATATAAGGTATATCGGTGGAGTGTGCGGGCCGGATGAGAAGACTATATAAGGTATATCGGTGGAGTGTGCGGGCCGGATGAGAAGACTATATAAGGTATATCGGTGGAGTGTGCGGGCCGGATGAGAAGACTATATAAGGTATATCGGTGGAGTGTGCGGGCCGGATGAGAAGACTATATAAGGTATATCGGTGGAGTGTGCGGGCCGGATGAGAAGACTATATAAGGTATATCGGTGGAGTGTGCGGGCCGGATGAGAAGACTATATAAGGTATATCGGTGGAGTGTGCGGGCCGGATGAGAAGACTATATAAGGTATATCGGTGGAGTGTGCGGGCCGGATGAGAAGACTATATAAGGTATATCGGTGGAGTGTGCGGGCCGGATGAGAAGACTATATAAGGTATATCGGTGGAGTGTGCGGGCCGGATGAGAAGACTATATAAGGTATATCGGTGGAGTGTGCGGGCCGGATGAGAAGACTATATAAGATATATCGGTGGAGTGTGCGGGCCGGATGAGAAGACTATATAAGGTATATCGGTGGAGTGTGCGGGCCGGATGAGAAGACTATATAAGGTATATCGGTGGAGTGTGCGGGCCGGATGAGAAGACTATATAAGATATATCGGTGGAGTGTGCGGGCCGGATGAGAAGACTATATAAGGTATATCGGTGGAGTGTGCGGGCCGGATGAGAAGACTATATAAGGTATATCGGTGGAGTGTGCGGGCCGGATGAGAAGACTATATAAGGTATATCGGTGGAGTGTGCGGGCCGGATGAGAAGACTATATAAGGTATATCGGTGGAGTGTGCGGGCCGGATGAGAAGACTATATAAGGTATATCGGTGGAGTGTGCGGGCTGGATGAGAAGACTATGTAAGGTATATCGGTGGAGTGTGCGGGCCGGATGAGAAGACTATATAAGGTATATCGGTGGAGTGTGCGGGCCGGATGAGAAGACTATATAAGGTATATCGGTGGGGTGTGCGGGCCGGATGAGAAGACTATATAAGATATATCGGTGGAGTGTGCGGGCCGGATGAGAAGACTATATAAGGTATATCGGTGGAGTGTGCGGGCCGGATGAGAAGACTATATAAAGTATATCGGTGGAGTGTGCGGGCCGGATGAGAAGACTATATAAGATATATCGGTGGAGTGTGCGGGCCGGATGAGAAGACTATATAAGGTATATCGGTGGAGTGTGCGGGCCGGATGAGAAGACTATATAAGGTATATCGGTGGAGTGTGCGGGCCGGATGAGAAGACTATATAAGGTATATCGGTGGAGTGTGCGGGCCGGATGAGAAGACTATATAAGGTATATCGGTGGAGTGTGCGGGCCGGATGAGAAGACTATATAAGGTATATCGGTGGAGTGTGCGGGCCGGATGAGAGGAAGAGCAGCAGCACATCTGGCGGAGGTGGACAAGGCAGCCGGATGGAAATGGTCATTACTAGCACATGTCTCACAGACCTGCGTGTCCTCCTACACTCATACCCTGCCATCTGGACCCCTCCTCCTCTTCCTCTTCTTCCTCCTGCTCCTCCTCCTCGTCCTCCTGCTCCTACTCATCGTCCACTGCAACTGTTACTGCTTTTGCAACTGCTACTGCTACTGTTGCTTGTGCTGCTGCTATTCAACTTTTACTGATGTAGGGAATTGTCTCTGTTGCAATTATAGACTCGTTACTCCTCCTGTAACTGCTACTGCTGTTTGTATCTGCTCTTGTTGGTTATTTAGCTGCTGCTGCTAATGTACTTTTAACTGCTCCTCCTGCTGATTTACATATAACTTGCTGCTGTTGCTCCTGCTACGATCACTCTTGCTCCTGCAGTTGCTGATTTTTCATCTGCATTCCCATGCCCGTTTTCAGGTGAATTAGTTCAGTTATTATTGATTTATTATATATTTACTACAATATTTCTGCTCGTTTTGTTGCTAATGCCTTTTGAAATGTGTTGACGGCGGTACAACTACCGCTCCTGCTCGGGGCCAAGATGATTCTTGTGTCTTAGACATTTATACTGGCAGCTTTTCTAGGTGATGGAAACACTTCAGTCATTCACCTGGGGGATCTAGAGCACACAGACGGTGTCCTAATACATGAGTAATGGTATAAAACACACACACACACACACACACACACACACACACACACACACACACACACACACACACACACACACACACACATTCAATTGTAGATATGATAGAGCCCAGTAGGCTCAGGAATCTGTACACCAGTTGATTTACAGTTGAGAGGCGGGACCAAAGAGCCAAAGCTCAACCCCCGCAAGCAGGTGAGTACACACACACACACACACTCACACTGTCGGAAAGCCTTTGATACAGTCCCCCATAAGAGGCTGGTACATAAGCTGGAGAGACAGGCAGGAGTAACTGGTAAAGTGCTCCAATGGATAAAAGAATACCTAAGCAATAGGAAGCAAAGAGTTACAGTGAGGGGTGAGACCTCAGATTGGCGTGAAGTCACCAGTGGAGTCCCACAAGGCTATGTACTCGGTCCTATCCTGTTTCTGATATACGTGAACGATCTCCCGGAGGGTCTAGACTCATTCCTCTCAATGTTTACTGACGATGCCAAAATTATGAGAAAGATTAAGACAGAGGACTACTTGAGGCTTCAAGAAGACCTAGATAAACTAAAGAAATGGTCGAACAAATGGTTGTTAGAGTTTAACCCGAGCCAATGCAATGTAATAAAGATAGGTGTAGGGAGCAAGAGGCCAGTTACAGGGTATCATTTGGGAGATTAAATTCTACACGAGTCAGAGAGAAAGACCTGGGGGTTGATATCACGCCAGACCAGTCCCCTGAAGCCCATATCAAGAGGATAACATCAGCAGCATATGCCAGGTTGGCTAACATAAGAACGGCATTTAGACACTTGTACAAGGAATCGTTCAGAACTTTGTATACCACCTATGTCAGACCAATCCTGGAGTATGTAGCCCCAGCATGGAGTTCATATCTAGTCAAGCATAAGACCAAACTGGAAAATGTTCAAAGGTTCGCCACCAGACTAGTACCTGGGCTGAGAAGTGTCGGAAAATCCGACACCAACTAATAATATCATACAGGCAGATAATATTGCTGCTGTATTGTATACACAAGTTACCCATAGAAAATGTAACTTGTAGTGGAACTTTCCGTCTATAGAAAGCGGGATATCATTGCCACCTACTATTATAAATTCACCACCTATTATGGTGGGAATTATTCTTAAATACATTAGTCTTTGGACTTTACGATCATAAAAACATCTCATTTGAATTAATTTAATTATCAGTATTAAAATAGAGTAAATGTGACCCTTCTATCACTTCCTGGCATCTCTAAAAAGTGAGGGAGGCGTCAGTGGTGAGGGTGTGGTCAGCCATTATTGTTATTGTTCTTAGACCAAAGGCACACAGTAGCAAATTCGGCTCCTGTTAATTTCTCTTGGACGAAGTGTTATGCAAACCAAAGGTCTGCCATCATCAACACACTGTCAACAAATACAAGGAATGTGTTCTGCCGAAACCCATTTATCTAATCATTTTTGGCCATTAATGTCAGTAGATAGGGCGTACCGGTTAGAATGCGAACAGCCTCTTAAGAAAAGGTAATTAAACCTTGGTCTTTCTGATTCATTATACATTGTTTTCTCTGATATAGCTGTCATATATTTGGATTATGGCTTTTAGCTAGCGCCCTTTTGACAGGTCAAGAAGAGGAAGCAAACTTTGTGTACCAGTTACTGGATGATGGAAGCTACCTCAAAGAGGATAATTTGGTGTCTACATCCTAGTTATATCTGGTGGACTAAGCCTTGCTGTACAATAAGATAAGGAACCTCTTCAATGTATACTAATATGTAGTTTAATACTGTAGTTTGATTGGCTGCATATATATAAATTCAATATAACCCCCCCCCCCTAATGTGTAGAGGATCGATTTGTGAGATTATTGCAGAAATACAGTCCACTTAACATCATACAAATTGCTATCGAAAATATAAATTAACGTAAATATAAATTCTATATAAATTCATATAAATTAATATATAAATCTCACAGGTCGGTTCCCACAAAAGTTCAAAGGTTCGCCACCAGACTAGTACCCGGGCTGAGAGGTATGAGCTACGAGGAGAGACTACGGGAATTAAACCTCACGTCGCTAGAAGACAGAAGAGTTAGGGGGGGGGGAATATGATCACCACGTACAAGATTCTCAGTGGAATTGACAGGGTAGATAAAGACGGTCTATTTAACACAAGGGGCACTAGGGGACACAGGTGGAAACTGAGTACCCAAATGAGCCACAGGGACGTTAGAAAGAATTTTGTTAGTGTCAGAGTGGTTAACAAATGGAATGCATTAGGCAGTGATGTGGTGGAGCCTGACTCCATACACAGTTTCAAGTGTAGATATGATAGAGCCCAGTAGGCTCAGGAACCTGTACACCAGTTGATTGACAGTTGAGAGGCGGGACCAAAGAGCCAGAGCTCAACCCCCCACAAGCTCAAATAGGTGAGTACACACACACACACCAGAACCCACCTGGGGATGTAGAGTATCCTCTCGGCGATGACGAAGCCGACGGTGAAGAGGAGGTTGGTGGCCGGGAGGAATGGCAGCACCAGCAGCGCCAACCCCAGCAGCAACGCCCGCCCCTCCTGGCCCTGCACGAGGAGAGAAAGATACGGCTCAAGCACTGGCGAGGATAGGCACGGACAGGTGCAGGCAAGGTCTTCGTGGCGAGCAAGGGGACAGAGGAGCGAGATGAGGGTAACTTAGGGAACTGTCACGCTTGTGTTGGGGAGCAATAACACGGGAGGAAGAGAGACTGTGTGTGTGTGTGTGTGTGTGTGTGTGTGTGTGTGTGTGTGTGTGTGTGTGTGTGTGTGTGTGTGTGTGTGTGTGTGTGTGTGTGTGTGTGTTTATAGGAGCGGTGTTTACATGAGGGTGCAAGCAATAACGTTGATTAATACATTCCTTTAAATTATTTGTAGGTTAATTTTAAGGATCAATAAACCTGACAAAGGCTAACACACCTTTCGCTTCGTTCAACGGGACAGTTCAATACAGGCAACTGAGAAACGATAATCGTCGAGAATTAGTAAAACAAACAAATGCTCCTCTGAAAATAAGTTTTTAGAATAAAACACACTGAAAAGACGCCACAGAATCTTGCAGAGATTGGATCAAAACAAATCCAGGAGGAATACATACTGCAGTAAAATGCGTTGTTTTAGGAGCTTGGGGAAGTTTTCTGTTTGAGGAATTAAATGAGAGAGTCGCCATGCCTCTGCAGGGGAGAGTTCGGGAAATAAACAAGAGTGGCTGTAGGAGAGCCTGGAGGTGCAGGATAGAGGGGGGGGGGGGAGGGCGTCAGGAGAGCACTTGTCGCGTAAAATGTTGTGACAGAAATTTGAGTCAAAGCGAAGGGTCAGATTTTTATAATGAGGTCACTAGAGAGTTGGGGTCGTGTCAGTGCTTGGAAGACTGGTGGCGGTTGAATGCTCACACTGCCAACACTACCAGTATATATATGTATATATATATATATATATATATATATATATATATATATATATATATATATATATATATATATATATATATATATATATATATATATATATATATATATGTCGTACCTAGTAGCCAGAACTCACTTTTTGGCCTACTATTCAAGGCCCGATTTGCCTAATAAGCCAAGTTTTCCTGAATTAATATATTTTTTCTAATTTTTTTCTTATGAAATGATAAAGCTACCCATTTCATTATGTATGAGGTCATTTTTTTTTTATTGGAGTTAAAATTAACGTAGATATATGACCGAACCTAACCAACCCTACCTAACCTAACCTATCTTTATAGGTTAGGTTTGGTTAGGTAGCCGAAAAAGTTAGGTTAGGTTAGGTTAGGTAGGTTAGGTAGTCGAAAAACAATTAATTCATGAAAACTTGGCTTATTAGGCAAATCGGGCCTTGCATAGTAGGCTGAGAAGTGCCTTCTGGCTATTAGGTACGACATATATATATATATATATATATATGAATGAAAACTCACACCCCAGAAGTGACTCGAACCCATACTCCCAGAAGCAACGCAACTGGTAACTACAGGGCGCCTTAATCCGCTTGACCATCACGGCCGTCAAAAGGAAGTGATAGCCGAGGCTATTTGAGCCACTTCCCCGATGGCAACTCGGATGGTAATCTTGGGCATAGCATTTCACCAAATCACCTCATTCTTTGGGGCACACGTGAGGAACACAAATGCGAACAAGCCTGAATGGTCCCCAGGACTATATGCGAATGAAAACTCACACCCCAGAAGTGACTCGAACCCATACTCCCAGAAGCAACGCAACTGGTAACTACAGGGCGCCTTAATCCGCTTGACCATCACGGCCGTCAAAAGGAAGTGATAGCCGAGGCTATTTGAGCCACTTCCCCGACGGCAACTCGGATGGTAATCTTGGGCATAGCATTTCACCAAATCACCTCATTCTTTGGGGCACACGTGAGGAACACAAATGCGAACAAGCCTGAATGGTCCCCAGGACTATATGCGAATGAAAACTCACACCCCAGAAGTGACTCGAACCCATACTCCCAGAAGCAACGCAACTGGTAACTACAGGGCGCCTTAATCCGCTTGACCATCACGGCCGTCAAAAGGAAGTGATAGCCGAGGCTATTTGAGCCACTTCCCCGACGGCAACTCGGATGGTAATCTTGGGCATAGCATTTCACCAAATCACCTCATTCTTTGGGGCACACGTGAGGAACACAAATGCGAACAAGCCTGAATGGTCCCCAGGACTATATGCGAATGAAAACTCACACCCCAGAAGTGACTCGAACCCATACTCCCAGAAGCAACGCAACTGGTAACTACAGGGCGCCTTAATCCGCTTGACCATCACGGCCGTCAAAAGGAAGTGATAGCCGAGGCTATTTGAGCCACTTCCCCGACGGCAACTCGGATGGTAATCTTGGGCATAGCATTTCACCAAATCACCTCATTCTTTGGGGCACACGTGAGGAACACAAATGTGAACAAGCCTGAATGGTCCCCAGGACTATATGCGAATGAAAACTCACACCCCAGAAGTGACTCGAACCCATACTCCCAGAAGCAACACAACTGGTAACTACAGGGCGCCTTAATCCGCTTGACCATCACGGCCGTCAAAAGGAAGTGATAGCCGAGGCTATTTGAGCCACTTCCCCGACGGCAACTCGGATGGTAATCTTGGGCATAGCATTTCACCAAATCACCTCATTCTTTGGGGCACACGTGAGGAACACAAATGCGAACAAGCCTGAATGGTCCCCAGGACTATATGCGAATGAAAACTCACACCCCAGAAGTGACTCGAACCCATACTCCCAGAAGCAACGCAACTGGTAACTACAGGGCGCCTTAATCCGCTTGACCATCACGGCCGTCAAAAGGAAGTGATAGCCGAGGCTATTTGAGCCACTTCCCCGACGGCAACTCGGATGGTAATCTTGGGCATAGCATTTCACCAAATCACCTCATTCTTTGGGGCACACGTGAGGAACACAAATGCGAACAAGCCTGAATGGTCCCCAGGACTATATGCGAATGAAAACTCACACCCCAGAAGTGACTCGAACCCATACTCCCAGAAGCAACGCAACTGGTAACTACAGGGCGCCTTAATCCGCTTGACCATCACGGCCGTCAAAAGGAAGTGATAGCCGAGGCTATTTGAGCCCCTTCCCCGACGGCAACTCGGATGGTAATCTTGGGCATAGCATTTCACCAAATCACCTCATTCTTTGGGGCACACGTGAGGAACACAAATGCGAACAAGCCTGAATGGTCCCCAGGACTATATGCGAATGAAAACTCACACCCCAGAAGTGACTCGAACCCATACTCCCAGAAGCAACGCAACTGGTAACTTCAGGGCGCCTTAATCCGCTTGACCATCACGGCCGTCAAAAGGAAGTGATAGCCGAGGCTATTTGAGCCACTTCCCCGACGGCAACTCGGATGGTAATCTTGGGCATAGCATTTCACCAAATCACCTCATTCTTTGGGGCACACGTGAGGAACACAAATGCGAACAAGCCTGAATGGTCCCCAGGACTATATGCGAATGAAAACTCACACCCCAGAAGTGACTCGAACCCATACTCCCAGAAGCAACGCAACTGATAACTACAGGGCGCCTTAATCCGCTTGACCATCACGGCCGTCAAAAGGAAGTGATAGCCGAGGCTATTTGAGCCACTTCCCCGACGGCAACTCGGATGGTAATCTTGGGCATAGCATTTCACCAAATCACCTCATTCTTTGGGGCACACGTGAGGAACACAAATGCGAACAAGCCTGAATGGTCCCCAGGACTATATGCGAATGAAAACTCACACCCCAGAAGTGACTCGAACCCATACTCCCAGAAGCAACGCAACTGGTAACTACAGGGCGCCTTAATCCGCTTGACCATCACGGCCGTCAAAAGGAAGTGATAGCCGAGGCTATTTGAGCCACTTCCCCGACGGCAACTCGGATGGTAATCTTGGGCATAGCATTTCACCAAATCACCTCATTCTTTGGGGCACACGTGAGGAACACAAATGCGAACAAGCCTGAATGGTCCCCAGGACTATATGCGAATGAAAACTCACACCCCAGAAGTGACTCGAACCCATACTCCCAGAAGCAACGCAACTGGTAACTACAGGGCGCCTTAATCCGCTTGACCATCACGGCCGTCAAAAGGAAGTGATAGCCGAGGCTATTTGAGCCACTTCCCCGACGGCAACTCGGATGGTAATCTTGGGCATAGCATTTCACCAAATCACCTCATTCTTTGGGGCACACGTGAGGAACACAAATGCGAACAAGCCTGAATGGTCCCCAGGACTATATGCGAATGAAAACTCACACCCCAAAAGTGACTCGAACCCATACTCCCAGAAGCAACGCAACTGGTAACTACAGGGCGCCTTAATCCGCTTGACCATCACGGCCGTCAAAAGGAAGTGATAGCCGAGGCTATTTGAGCCACTTTCCCGACGGCAACTCGGATGGTAATCTTGGGCATAGCATTTCACCAAATCACCTCATTCTTTGGGGCACACGTGAGGAACACAAATGCGAACAAGCCTGAATGATCCCCAGGACTATATGCGAATGAAAACTCACACCCCAGAAGTGACTCGAACCCATACTCCGAGTTTTTTCCGAGTTGCCGTCGGGGAAGTGGCTCAAATAGCCTCGGCTATCACTTCCTTTTGACGGCTGTGATGGTCAAGCGGATTAAGGCGCCCTGTAGTTACCAGTTGCGTTGCTTCTGGGAGTATGGGTTCGAGTCACTTCTGGGGTGTGAGTTTTCATTCGCATATAGTCCTGGGGACCATTCAGGCTTGTTCGCATTTGTGTTCCTCACGTGTGCCCCAAAGAATGAGGTGATTTGGTGAAATGCTATGCCCAAGATTACCATCCGAGTTGCCGTCGGGGAAGTGGCTCAAATAGCCTCGGCTATCACTTCCTTTTGACGGCTGTGATGGTCAAGCGGATTAAGGCGCCCTGTAGTTACCAGTTGCGTTGCTTCTGGGAGTATGGGTTCGAGTCACTTCTGGGGTGTGAGTTTTCATTCGCATATAGTCCTGGGGACCATTCAGGCTTGTTC